GCTAGACCGTCCCATTTCACAAGCCTACAAGCCTCACACTTCTGGCCTTAGCGGTCTTTGAGTATACGGCAATTGAGGACTGTTGAGCCTGCGTACTTTAAGGCTGCAAACCCTGAACTGGGATACAGCCACAGCCTATAAATACACAGCAGGAAATGAGGGAACTACACACAGGAGGAAGACACATCTGAACCAAATGAGTATGATGAAACACCAAGCTACATACACTGACAAAAGACATGGACTTTCAAAATAAAACAGGAAACATGATGTGTGAGTGGAGAGAAACATGGAAAACAACAGAATAAAAAAAACTAAGGGAACCACGGCACAAGAACTCATACCACAATAAAAACTCAGACACATAAGGAGACACAAAGGCCAGAGACACAAGGGGTAATCCAATAAACTAAACATAACCACTTAGGAACCACAGAATAATGTATGAACTAAAAACATAAAACTAAGAAAGTTGGATGAAAAATGACCCAGGACCGTGACATGGCATATATAAATGATTGGGGAGATAATCTCTCACTCAGAGAACCAAGGTTACAGAGAAACCATATATTCACTACTGGTGATAACGTGTTCACAGCTGAAAATCTCACAGTGGTTGGAAAGCATGAAGGAAAATGGTGGAGCAACTTTATTTGTAAAGACTTGCTTTTTTTGCCTGATTGTTGAGTATGACACTGTCAACAGGGTGAAAAGATTGATTTTCTCCTCAGGTGTTGAATTAGAGCACACATGAAGGGATTATGAATGCAGGTTCATGTTGGATAATCATGTCAAGTTTACAGGATTCAGACTGGAAATGTAAAGTCTCTTTAAGGCTCTAAAAACTGCGCTTTGCCCCTTTAAATCTCTTCCCCTGCTTTATTTGTCCTGACAGTGAGCGCTCTGAATCCACACACACACTTTCAGTTCTTCTTCTGCTGTAAATGAAGGACAAATGAGCTGATTAAACAAGCTCAGTCATTACAAACTTCAGCTGATGTTTTCATGTGAAGCAGTCGGAGATATTCCTCTGGTGGACGACACACACTGCTTTGATAGTAAATAAAGCTCAGAAATTTTTCCTTACCCCTATCAACACTAATTTATCTCATGACTTTGAATCCCCCTGAAGATCCTGACAGTGAAGCCCGTACATAATACTCCAGCCTTTCAACTCTGAGCTTATTTAGTTCTATTAATACACTGAAATCTCATTTGTGTCATGAAGAAAGTCTTTAATCAAACAGAATTCAAAGAGCAGAAACATTTCATATATGGAGTTAAACATGAATCATTGTTTCAACAACATATTTATTGTTGTCATAAACAGACAAGAAGACAACAACAAACTGCTCCTCCCATTCAACACATGTCAGTCCATATCCCAGCAAACTAAATCATCTCAATTGACACCTTCATTGGCAACACCTTCATTTTACCATCAGTTTCAATAAATGGAAACATCCTGTGAGTGAAAGTGTGTGTGAAGGTGTGTATGTGTGTGTTAGTATCAGGATCAGAGAACGACAGCTTTCCTCTGTTCCAGTCCAGATTCACTCTGATCCTCTGGAGCTTCGTCGCAATTGGGAGAGCAGTGTATAGAGCTGATTGTGAGAGTGTGTAGTATTTACTTAGACTAAACAATATTGCCCATAATCCAAATGTTATGATTCCCTTCCTCTGCACAGACTCTGCTAACACACCCAGTCTCCACCATGTACTGTCTCCAACATCAACATCCCAGCTGTGAGTCCCTGAGTTAAAGCCCTCAGAGCCCAGGACAGAGCAGAACAAATCAAACCTCTCTGGATTATCAGGAAGCTGCTTCTCTCCTCGTCGTCTCACACTGGTCAGATCTTCAGACAGGATGAGTTCTGGATGAGCAGTGTTTGGGTCCAGAATGAGAGGAGTGCAGGAGACCATGTCCTTCATGTTGTTCCAGATGTTGAAGGTCAGGTTACCCAGGTGTTTGGCCTGGTCTATCAGAGCTCCTGAGGGCAGCTGTGGATCATCCAGCAGGGGGCAGCGCTGGACTCTTTCCACTGCAGCCTTGTAGTTGTGCAGGAATGAGACGTCTTCAGCTCTCAGCTCCTCCTCTGTGGCTCTGACTGTGTCTGAAAG